TTCACGCCACCTTCACCATATTTTCTCTCAATTTTCTTCACTAAATTTTAAAGGGAAATTATAGAATTTTGCTTGGATTTTTATAGATTTTCAATCCTAAAACATCCAAAGGTAAGATTCTAGCATAAGGAGTATGATTAAACTTTAAAGTTCTAGATTATTATGGTTTTTATATGATCTAGGTCCAAGAGGAAGAGACTTTTAGAAAGAGAAAGTTATATCACACATTCAAGATAAGTAAACCTAATTTTATGATTTTATCTTGATTTGAGCAAGACTCGTGTTGAATGAATTTTTACATGTTTGTATATGATGGTATGAGAGAATTATTTGCTGTTTTTTATGTTTAATGGTGCGTAATTTCTAGTCATGAGAGGTAGTGTATGAGTATATGATGAATTAGTGGAATTATGGAAGAATTAGTGATGAAATTTTGAAGTGTAGAAAATTGTTGAAATCGGCCAAGTTTGACACTAAAGTTAGTGAGTTTTTGGCTCACATTTTGGTGAAATTAGAGAGATGTGGAAGTGTAGCTAACATGGTAGTTGCATGTGCACATGAAGTGTTTGATGAAAATCCAAAGATAAAATACATGCATGAGTTGGCTAAATCCTATTGAAGAAAGGGTTAGAGAAAGGCAAGAATTGAAGTAGAAAGATTATATTGGGCTTAACCAAGTGTAAATGTTAGTATTCAAGGGTGTATATTGTTATGCCAAAATTTAGAATATCACTTGGTCATGTTAGTTTTATGAGAGAAATGGCCCTTAGTGTTTGGTTTTAGTTACTTGAACTTTTCCTACTTTTTGAATAGCACATGAAAGTGTTAGAAAGGAATTGCAAGTTAAAGTGATACTTTGATATCGAAATTGTGATAGTAGAGAATGATAGAATATGTCATAACATACCATTATGCCATAATGAATTTTCAAGTTTGTATATGTGAACTTGTAAAGCATATTAAAGAATGGGCTTGAACATGCATATATTGTGCACATGATTTATATATAGCCTTGATTTAGTAAATGAGAATATGAAATAATATGTTAGCAAAGAATGAGAAAAAGAAAGAAAAGCAAGTGGCTTATAGATTTCTTTTTAAGCTAACATACAAGTATGTATATTTTCTCATTTACTAAAGAATGCAAGTATGAAATTTTCATAGCTTGGAAATTTATTTAGAAATGTGTATATTATCTCTTTCTATTCTCTTTTTACAGCATGTTATGTTATAAGGTTATTGCAATGGGGAACACGTGAGTGTCAGAGATGCCCACATGCACACCGCCATCAGTGAGTGGCATCAGCAGAGAGATATAGTATTTGTACAGTCCGTCAGTAGTGTATATGGATGAGGATTGTATCCAGCAAAGCATACCTACATGCACGCCGCCATCAGTGAGCGACCTCAGCAGAGAGATACTACATTGGTACGGTCCGTCAGTAGTGCATGTAGATGAGGACTATACCTAGTATACACTCACACGGTCAAGGTTCCAAATCCATGCATCAACCTAGTCCGATCGGCAAACCAGAATATAAGAAAGAAAAGAAAGAGAAATAGAGAAGAAAAGAAAGAGATATAACATAAGAGACAGATAACAGAAAAGAAAAGAAAGTTCTTTTCTCAGAAAAGTTTATTATTCTGCATATGTATTATGCTACTGATATGATTTAGTATTTCTTATGTGCTCGACGATGTACAGTTTTATTCATTGTCTTTGCACGGTGATAAGTAGCAAATCAGAGTATCAGAGAAGAATGCAGAATATCAGAAAAGAATGAAGAATATTATCAAAGATTAAAGTGAGAAAAGGAAAATCAGAAAATGAGTAATGGAGGAAAAACAATAGTGTAGCTTGGTTTACTTACTGAGCAATTAGTGCTCACTCTATTATTGTACTATTTTGTAGGAACTTGATGATTTACGATCGGATGGAACGTCAAGAAGTGAAGGAGTTTGGCGGTACTATCCAAGACTACCTTGTACTATCAGTTATTTTGTGTATATGTTTATATGAATTAAAATTAAAATTTTCGGATTTTACATTATATACCTCTATGTATATATAATAAAACCTCTTTATAGTGATATTCTATATAAGAATAAACTCTACATAGTTATAACAAAATTCTATTCCCAACTTGGGATAGTTACAAATAAGAATAAACTCTACATTGTAGTAAGTTATAATTTTTATAATTCCCATCTTAAGAAAAGTTGCCTCCACATAGTAATAATTATGTGTATATTGCAAAAAAAATATATTATTTGTTACATTAAATGCTTAAGATGAAATAAAATATTTCTCTAAAGTTGTTTGGGAGAATGATTTATATTTTAGAGTTGTTACCACATCTTTTAACTTGCAGGTGTATTACTCACTAGCATGAAAATTTTCTTATTGAAGCCAAAATATTTATAACTTCTCAAGCATGTTTGGAGCTTATTACCACAAAACTTTTTGTATTTCCATACTATCATCCTCATGATCATTTCTTTTATCTTCTTGTGTAATTGTAACAATGATTTATTATTTAGCTAAAACATACATGATTTGTTGCTCATTTGAATGATTGAGGAAGACGTTAATATCCATTCGATTAGTATAGCGAAGTTGTCAAATCTGATCACTCAATTCTACAATGACTATTTGATTCTTCTCATTCACTTTATTTATAACTTGCAATTCATCGACATCGGGGATCTTAATTTTGTAATGCTTAAAACAAATGACAATTGTCTGTGACTTCACATCAATTTAACCATGTAGCAACTGTATTTACAATTCCATCAAGCACATTTATCTTTGCTAGTTCCAAGACACGATTTTCTATTCATTTAAAAAGTAGGTAATTGAAACGCTGAATTGAAATCTTATATTATTAAAATATGAATTGAAATTCTAATGCTGTACTACTAAAACATGACTTATAAAATAAGAAATTTTTGTAATTACACCTCTATTAAATTATAACCTCCTTATAGTAATAAAATCAATTAATCCCATCATTATAACTATAGGGAGGTTTTACTGTATATGTTTATAAAGTTATTTAGTGAATTTTATCATATATTTCTTAAAGAATTACTAGCTAGAGAGTATATTATATTTAATCAAGCAGGGAAGTTAGGGGTTTTGATGTGGAGGTTAAGGGGATTGTAATGGTGGTGTCAAGAGGGGTCGATTGTGTCGGAAACAGGTCGGAATTGCTTGAAATCGTCGGTGGGGTGAATTAGAGAAGGGAAGGGTTATTTTGGAATTTTTTGGTGGGGTGAATTTGAGAAATGAAGGGTTATTTTGAAAATTTTATCTTTGAAATGACCATTTTACCATTTTAACTGTTAGATTAAATAGTTATCCGTTAATTTAAGGGTGCGAATCTGTAATTTATGAAACTAGGGGTGGGAACTTTAGATTCGCCAAACCTTGGGAAGGAAAATGTCGTTTACTCTAAATCAATATATTTTACCGTGTATTAGAGATTAATTCTTTCGTTCTATGCAACCCCATGACGTCTGTAATGTAAGAAGGATTTAAAAAATAATTAATTAGGTTTTAAATTATATTAATACAAATATTTAGTAAACAGTTTTAAAATTAATTAAATTCGAAACCGATGATAAAATATTTAAATTTATAAAAGCATTATAAAAACAGCCTAAAATAACTTTTTATATTCAAAGGTGATTTTATATATTTAAATGAGAAATACTGTATATTCATATGTATTACAGTATTACTTTAAATTACAAGTTTACAACATAACATTTTATATTAAAAATTAGCTGATTAAATAAATAAATTTAATTAAATATTTTTCAAAAAGAAAAACCATTAGACAGCCTGCAGTCATTGAAATTGTCGCCGCCATCTGCAACTTTCGGCGACTTTTTCGGTAGCGCGTACGGAAACACCATTGGTGTCTCCGGACTCGGCATGATCCGCTCTATTAGGTAAAGTTGGAATGGAATCGCCAAAAAAAAAAAACTTGACGTTCAGCCGCAGAATTCCACCAATTTATTTCTAAGTTCTGCGGCTAAACCGGAGGTGGTTCCCAACAACCACCGCCTGCGGAGGTTTGTCGACGTTGCAGGCAGGCTGTTTTTTCTTTTATTTTCCTTTAGGAGAAATTGTTAATTTATTTTATGAGTTATATGCTTTTAAATATTTGTTAATATAATTTTGGGATAAATTTAATATTCATATTAAAAAGATTAAATTAAGTCCTCTATGGTAATTATACATACCACAAGGCCCACAACACTTTAAAAATCTCTTTCACCAAACGTAACTGTGAAAGTCAAAATAATTCCAAAATAATGTTTTTAGAAAACACATTTTCAAAACTGATTATTTTTAAAGTTAAGTAAAAAGTAATTAAATTTAAAGCTACAGAAATTCTAAACTAGCTCTTAGTTTTAGTATATTTAATCAAACAATATTCCTAGTCCTAGGTTTTATAAAAATTCATCACTAACATCCCTTCAAGCTAACTCTGTTTAACTTCATATTATCAACTAAGGTTAAACTGCCTTTTTCTCTTAAATATAAAACCATAAACTAAAAAAATTATAAATTAGTATAATCACAATATATAAGAAAATTTACTTAAAAATATAAATTTTAGCTAGATATTATTTATTAATCTATCAAATATAACATATACAATATCTGCTAATTAATGAAACTCTATTTAATTATTTATAAGAAAATTAAAATTCTAAATCAAAAGATTCCATCCTTCATAAATATATTTAAATAACTGAAAATATGCTAAATTAAACAAAATTTATAGCGGAAATGAATATATATTAAATTCTATAAATATTTTTTCCTCTTTCTTTCAATTTTTATTTTAGATATGAAAAATATTTTCCAAAATACATATTAAATAAAAAATTATTTCATTTTCATTGTGAAATTTTGAACTTGAGATAATAATAATAATTATTATTATAAATCTAGGACTTGACTTTTAATTTCCAATAGACAACTATTGGACCCCAGATAACCCCTCATTTTCTCTAAAACTTTCCCGGAAAAAAGAAACAAAGAAAAAAAATGAGACACGAGTCCGAGGAAGCACTCTTGCTTTCTCCCTAACCAAACACCCTCTCTCTTCCTCTTACTTCAGTCTCGCTTCAGCAGCACAATCATGACTTGACAAAACCAACGACACGACACACAACACACAAAGACAACCATAACAACCCCAACTTAAAGCTCCAATAACAACAACAAACAGAGACATCATGGGCGCGTCGCTATCGAACCTTACTGATAACGGTGCGACCATGGGTCCGGGACTGGGGGACATACCGGAGAGCTGCGTGGCGTGCGTGTTTTTGTACTTGACTCCACCAGAGATTTGTAATCTCGCCAGATTAAACCGCGCTTTTCGAGGTGCGGCGTCTTCCGACTCTGTTTGGGAAAAGAAGCTTCCGCCTAATTATCAAGATCTGCTCTGTTTTATGCCTCCTGAACGCTATCAAAATTTGTCTAAAAAAGACATTTTTGCCCTCCTCTCTCGTCCCGTTCCCTTTGAGGATGGAAATAAGGTTAGGAATTTTTCTTTTGGAACAGTTTCAGGGAAAATTTGGGGTTTTGAGTTTCTGGGTTTGTTAGTTCTGGCACTGTGATGAGCGGTTTTGTGAAAATGTTGTTCTTTTTGGTTTTCTTTTAATGGGTGAAGATTAGGGTTTTGTGAATTTAATTTGGTTCTATTTTTGCAGGAAGTGTGGATAGATAGAGTTACGGGAAGAGTTTGCATGTCAATATCGGCAAAAGCGATGGCCATAACGGGAATTGAAGATCGCAGATATTGGAATTGGATTGCTACTGAAGAATCTAGGTTATCCGTTTAAGCTTACAATTACAAGCTTTAGTTTATTGAATGTGTCCTAAGCTTAATGTGTCCTAAGCTTGATGTGGCAATGAAAACATTGTACAGCTGAAACCATGTTTACTAAATTATGAAGTGATTTAGTATCTAAACTACAAAAAAGCAAAAATGGCGTTAGTTTATATTGGTAAAGCTACAATCGAATTATGGAGTCAACTTTTAGATTTTATGTTGTTGACGGCTCTGAATTTGGTATAGATATAGTGCTCATTAAATATTCCTCTTCGGGTTTATTTACTTCTCTTCAAATTTTTGGAAAGTGGAAAAATCTGGAGGAGCTGTATTTCGTTGGTGTTTGAACTTGGGGAACTATTTCCATTCTTTTAGGTGAACCTGTTTAGTGCATTTTCTGTGCTTCTTAATGGAATTGACTTCTGAAAGATAGCGACGGTGGCTGCGAATTCTTAAGCTCTCTCTTTTTGTCCTCATTTTTTATCTTTTGGTGTCATTCATCATTTAAGTTATCTTCAACTTCTCCTTTTCTGACGAGTTTCATGAAATAGACTGTCTTTCTGTTGCTACAAAATTTTAGTGTAATATACGTTAAACTTTATTCTCAGCTATTTGCTTGGTTTCCCTTATTTACTCACAACTGCATTGACTCATCTACCCTTAGATTGTGTATATGCATGCTATAGAAATTTGAATATGAGAAAGCTGACTGAACGAGTGAGAATAATATCGGAGAGTATCCTATATGAAAGTTACCATATTGAAGGCCTGAAGCATATATTAGGCTTGAAACTGATTGAGAATCTTTTATTGTACTTATTTCTTCTCAAATTAGTGAGTTTATCTTATGCATTCTGGAGTAGAAAAGTGAACTATGTATTGTCAAATTCAGAATGTGACTTCAAGTGGTGTTTCCAAAATTTATTCATTTAGTCTGCTAAGTGGAACCCATTCCTTCTCCAGCTGGATTGGGTGTATNCTTAATGTGTCCTAAGCTTGATGTGGCAATGAAAACATTGTACAGCTGAAACCATGTTTACTAAATTATGAAGTGATTTGGCATCTAAACTACAAAAAAGCAAAAATGGCGTTAGTTTATATTGGTAAAGCTACAATCGAATTATGGAGTCAACTTTTAGATTTTATGTTGTTGACGGCTCTGAATTTGGTATAGATATAGTGCTCATTAAATATTCCTCTTCGGGTTTATTTACTTCTCTTCAAATTTTTGGAAAGTGGAAAAATCTGGAGGAGCTGTATTTCGTTGGTGTTTGAACTTGGGGAACTATTTCCATTCTTTTAGGTGAACCTGTTTAGTGCATTTTCTGTGCTTCTTAATGGAATTGACTTCTGAAAGATAGCGACGGTGGCTGCGAATTCTTAAGCTCTCTCTTTTTGTCCTCATTTTTTATCTTTTGGTGTCATTCATCATTTAAGTTATCTTCAACTTCTCCTTTTCTGACGAGTTTCATGAAATAGACTGTCTTTCTGTTGCTACAAAATTTTAGTGTAATATACGTTAAACTTTATTCTCAGCTATTTGCTTGGTTTCCCTTATTTACTCACAACTGCATTGACTCATCTACCCTTAGATTGTATATATGCATGCTATAGAAATTTGAATATGAGAAAGCTGACTGAATGAGTGAGAATAATATCGGAGAGTATCCTATTTGAAAGTTACCATATTGAAGGCCTGAAGCATATAGTAGGCTTGAAACTGATTGAGAATCTTTTATTGTACTTATTTCTTCTCAAATTAGTGAGTTTATCTTATGATTCTGGAGTAGAAAAGTGAACTATGTATGGTCAAATTCAGAATGTGACTTCAAGTGGTGTTTCCAAAATTTATTCATTTAGTCTGCTAAGTGGAACCCATTCCTTCTCCAGCTGGATTGGGTGTATAATACAAGGTAGTGACCCCTTTAGATACAGTATGACCTAGTTGAATCTTGCTCAACTCTTTCTAACCAGACCAAATGGCGTGTTAGCTGGTAATGACCTCAGGTCCCATTAAATTATGCTGACATGAACCTTTTAACATAGCCGAGTTTGGCCTAATCGTATGTAAACCCTTTGTTGTCCTTAATTCTGATTTTCTTCATTCTCTATGAAACTTTCTCTTAAGCAGTGTGGACTATGTGAGTGTCTAGTTTCATACCATTGTTCTTATTGTTCTTATTGTGATTTATCTATTTTTAGTTCCACTCCATCAACAGAATACTTAGCTTTTAGATTTCTTCTATTAGTGAATAAATTTTTTTGTATTACCAAGGAAGATATGTTGTCTTAGAAGACTTTCTGTCTTTAATTTGAGCTAAAAAGAAATAGATTTTATTTTATATCTTGATTTTCCAATACATATGAACTAAAGTGTTTTCATCATGTAAAAGTTGAATGCCTTTTCTTCGCTGGGAAAGTTTCTCAAATCTTACCTGAATTCATTTGTTTTCCTGTGCTGAGACTTTGTTAAGTCTTTAGTAGTGTATGATGTAGAAGAGAGCTATGACTTTGGAGCTTATTGCATAATGATTAAAATTTAATTGGTCATCCTCAGATCAAGAAACCTTGTTAATCGTTTTATCATTCAGGTCATGTTTATGGTGGATTCTAGGGTCCATTTTTGAGTCCCTTATGTGGGCTGAAATTGTGAAAATCTTATTTTTCTTGTTTTTTGGAATGTAGAGAATTGGAATTTAAGATTGAATTGTCTTTTGTGGTATTTTNTATGATACAGTATGACCTAGTTGAATCTTGCTCAACTCTTTCTAACCAGACCAAATGGCGCGTTAGTTGGTAATGACCTCAGGTCCCATTAAATTATGCTGACATGAACCTTTTAACATAGCCGAGTTTGGCCTAATCGTATGTAAACCCTTTGTTGTCCTTAATTCTGATTTTCTTCATTCTCTATGAAACTTTCTCTTAAGCAGTGTGGACTATGTGAGTGTCTAGTTTCATACCATTGTTCTTATTGTTCTTATTGTGATTTATCTATTTTTAGTTCCACTCCATCAACAGAATACTTAGCTTTTAGATTTCTTCTATTAGTGAATAAATTTTTTTGTATTACCAAGGAAGATATGTTGTCTTAGAAGACTTTCTGTCTTTAATTTGAGCTAAAAAGAAATAGATTTTATTTTATATCTTGATTTTCCAATACATATGAACTAAAGTGTTTTCATCATGTAAAAGTTGAATGCCTTTTCTTCGCTGGGAAAGTTTCTCAAATCTTACCTGAATTCATTTGTTTTCCTGTGCTGAGACTTTGTTAAGTCTTTAGTAGTGTATGATGTAGAAGAGAGCTATGACTTTGGAGCTTATTGCATAATGATTAAAATTTAATTGGTCATCCTCAGATCAAGAAACCTTGTTAATCGTTTTATCATTCAGGTCATGTTTATGGTGGATTCTAGGGTCCATTTTTGAGTCCCTTATGTGGGCTGAAATTGTGAAAATCTTATTTTTCTTGTTTTTTGGAATGTAGAGAATTGGAATTTAAGATTGAATTGTCTTTTGTGGTATTTTTATGCCATGTTATGTATATAGGCTAATGTTGTAGGGAAGAGCAGGACTAATTTGTGTGGAGGCGATTCCATTTCTAAATTTATTAACTAAGTCTTATATATTGTGCCTCTGTTTGCAGTGCAATAGCTGTGGCTACCCAAAACCATTGTGTTTGCTGATGACTCGTGTTCTTAGTTCACTTTACTCTTGGTTATTGGTGATGCTTTTGTTTTCTTCTTTCTCTTTATTGGATTTCATTGGATGCTTTAAAAATTTAAGGCTGTATAGTAGCTGCCTTTTGTGTCTATGTTCTACTTATAACTGTGAAAGATTGCATCCTTTTGTTTCTTTTACCTTGTAATTCTCTTTTTCATATTCTACAAATTCTCTACCTAGGTAATTGTTGCTTAAATTAAGATCGTCAACCAAAATCAACAGTTAAGCTATTCTTTTATGTCGATATCATATTAGGATATTCAATTCTTTAAAGTAGGAATATATCTGATTTTAACATGATTTTTTTTTTCCTTTTTCTTTGAGCAAGTGGGGGAGGGTTGGTGGTAGCATATAATTCTTGAAGGATGTTCCATGTTTCTTTCTAAGGGTATTAGTTATGTCAGCAACAGTGGCGATTGCACAATTGAAATGTCATTTTTTTTGGCTTGTCAAAATAAGTGCCAATAGTAATGTGCAATGATAGCACTTAAAAACTTTATGATCGTATTGTTAAATCCTTTTGGAAGGTCGTATTGTATTTATCTATTGTAAATTATAACCTCCCATCAATAGGCAACTTTGATTAATGAGGGGCATGGGAAGAAATTGTATATTTTTCTCATGTGTTGCCTACTTCCATTATAAATTTATTTATAAAGGTAGAAGCTATTAATCTCTTTCATTCAGTCTGTTTGACTTGACGGCTTTGAACTTCCTGATCTCAGTAGATATATCATGATAGGTGTCATGGTTTGTCTCCCAAGGATCCCTGCTAGTGTGGAATTCTTTTTATTTTTCGCACTCTGTAATTTGGGCCTCATGGTAGCATGTAAAATTAAGATTGTGGATATGTTCCATTTGCTTGGATTTTGACTGTCCTTTCTGGTTTATAATTACTCTTCTCAAAAGTAGAGAAGATATGGTCCAATTGCTCTTTTGCAATAATTTTATCACAAATTTTTAACTTAGTTTTGTACAAAACTTGCAAATACATTTGTCTGGATTCTTCTTGCTGTGGTGAAAGAAAAATAGGCTTGTATTCTCTCTCAGGCTATCTTCCATTAATCTGTCAATATTTGTGTTAACAAAGTTGTTCTACAGATTTTGATGGTGTGCCTGCAATTTGCTCTTTTTTTTTTTTTTTCAGATTTCATGTTGTGGCCTATTTGCAACAAATATGGTGGTTTGAGGTAGATGGTGTAGTGAAGTTCCATTTTCCTCCTGATGTCTATACTCTGTCGTTCAGGCTTCATCTTGGAAGATTTTCCAAAAGGTTGGGACGGCGAGTGTGTTATTTTGAGCACACCCACGGTTGGGATATAAAGCCTGTACGATTTGAGTTGTCTACTTCTGATGGTCAGCAAGCATCATGTGAGTGTTGTTTAGATGAGACTGAACAAGATGATGTAAATGGCAACCATAAGCGTGGATGCTGGATAGAGTATAAGGTTGGTGAATTTATCGTTACTGACTCAGAACCAGCAACTGAAGTTAGGTTTTCAATGAAACAGATTGATTGCACACACTCTAAAGGTGGGCTTTGTGTAGATTCCGTGTTTATCATACCCAGTCGTTTGAAAGAGCGGAAAAGGAAAGGTTTTTTAAAGTAGGTGACTCCTGTGTATTATGATTCAGTTTTGTTTCATTATACTTGTGCATTGGCTTTGGTTATATGCTCTTTTTTTTTCCCTTGGGGGGGTGGGGTAGGTGCTTCTGTTAAGCATTTTGTAACTTTGTTGTGATACAAATGAAACACTGTTCATTCTTAAATCTTTACTGGAAGCAGTATCATGTCACTTAATTTTCTTTTTGTTTAATGGTATACAGCAAGTTCTGTATTCTCTTTCTCTATCTCTCAAGTTTAAACTGCCGGGAGGTTAATCTTATGTATAATTTACTTGTGGCTGGTGTTGTAGATCAATTTCATGTATGACATTGAACCTGATCATAACTGATGGATGTTTATCTTACTTCATTGCTTTGAGGCTTTTGGGTTTGTACTTGATTTTTATGACATTTTACAGGTTATGCTATCAGCTGTTATCTTTTTGACAAAAATGTTATTATATTATTAACATATATGTTTGCAATATCACTTCTTTTAACCTCTGAAAATCAAGATAACACCGTAAGAGAGACTTGAGTGGTCAGTTTTACAAAATATGAAGAATGTTTTTTATAAGTTGAATATACATGTCATAGAATTTTTTAACTGGACTCATAAGGATGATTTGGGCTTGGATTCTCACATAATGTTGGTTCAGAAAAAGTTAAGAGGACTACTCTTGTCTCAATCTCAAACTTATTAAACATTTACCTTGAATTTTAATTCATCCTATTCATTCTTCTCTGGTTCAATCAACTTCCATCATTGAAATTATGATTCACAGAAGGACAGTTGTTAACTCATCTCTGCCTGCAATATTTGTAGTTTCTTTGCACACCACGTGTCCTCTTTAGTATTGTAGACTTATGCAATGTGTATCAGATGGGTATTGGATATATGGTGCAAGAACAAGCCAACAAGTTTTATAAAGAATGAATTATCTTCACATGAAAGAGGAAGAAAAATATTATATTAGCAGTTTCTACTTAAATAACTGAAGAAGTAATTAAATCACAAGGTTGTGATTTCTGTGTTGTGCGGGATAAAAATCCAGCTCGAGCACGGAGAAAGCACAGAAATTCCAGTTCGGGTACTGTGCAAAACAAGTCGAAAAAAACATACCGCTCAGGATAAGTGTCCACCTGGTAGGCCTATTTAGCTGTATGATCACCACGTGCAATACATGCAGCAACTTCCCCTAACCAAACGACTACTCACTGACAAACTCAAGTTAATTACAACTATGATCGTGATTAAGGGTAATGATGTTCCGATGCCCTCGATCACCCAAAATCTGTCAGACCAGACAACAATCATTTCGTTGATGTAACCCCCACTAACGACTGCCATCAGCTCCTATAAATACCTAGTTGAAACCCTGAAAAAAAGGGGGGAGAGAGAAAAACAAACGCAATATAGAAGAGGAAGAGGATAGAGAAAGCACTGTTTTTATTTTTAATTCTTTGTAATCACTCATCTCGAGAATACAACTAGTGGATGTAGAGGTTTGATTTCTTGCTCGGCCGAACTACATTAAAAAGTTCATCTCTTCATTGCCATTGTTAGCTAACGTTGCCATCAACTTCGACCTTGTCTTGATTACTCGTGCTCACCGTTGCTGATTCCCTGGAATCATGCTCTTGGAATCACGCACCTATCTTGCTCGATTCCTTACTAGGTCAAACAAGTATCTCTGGTTGATACGTGTTTATGATTTGACATTCTAGTCGATATAGAATTTATGATCAACATTTTGGTGCTAAAAGGAGGATAAGGCTTGGACACTCCGATCGAAGCCCACTCTAAACGCAACTAAAATCACGTTCACTAAACCAACCACCACATCTCGCTACAAATGGCGCGACGGACAAGGAAAACTAGGAGTCAGACCGGGTACCAATCAGGTTGACACTCTCAAAACCGAAGGCCTCGGGAACATTTAGGAAGTCGCTAACGGCCTTCCACTGGTCATTTCACTTCTTCAAGGAGAGAACCACCAGGATGCACATTCACTTGATTCAGAGAACCCATGGCTTGCTCAATGCTCTTTTAATTCCAGCCACCGCACCTCGAGTAGTTGTGCTCTCTCCTCTCTTGGCAAATCAGACAACCTTCCTTCTTTCCCCCTCAAGGCAAGACTTCGCTGAGCTTGGCGGGCCCTAAGATGACTTCCCTAATGACGGCTCACTAGAAGCCCTCGACCTTTGAGGTAAAAAGCCAGATGGTTTCTTCCCCTCTGGGTAATGGTTGGGCTTAGGAACGAAAATCTTTGAGGGGATGAACCCCTGTTAGAAAGTGAATGAGACTTTTGCTGAAAGACGAAAAAGAAGAATAGGAAAATACTCACTTGTTTTCTTCTTCAAAAAAAATGGTGGAAAACCGAGCATTTTGGGGGCAAAACCTAAACTCAATTAAATTCTTAAGAGTTATCAATTGCTTGATGTCCCAATCTGAATCCAATAGCTCGCAAAAATGCAAAACCCGTAGTTAGAGCTTCTCAAGTAGATAGGACTACTTGTGATCACCTGCACAATGGAAAAAAATGGAGGTAACAACTTGTTTGAAAGAACCTCTTTGGGAAAATTAACAAGAAAAAATTAACTGACACCTATGGGAGTCACCAAAATTGCTGCCCCTCTCACAAGCATACAAGAAGTAGTCGGAGTCCCAACCACCTTGTTTGTTAGAGATTTTGACCAACCCCTTAAGCTTAGAATGCTTTGCCTTAGAAAAATAATAAAGCCCCCCTTGACATTTCTTCAAGGGGTAAACATTTACGAGCTCATCAATAGTAGGCTTGTCGATACCACTCCTCTTATAGGCAATGTACATACCAATCATACATAGGTATGAATTCGCCGTTAATTGAAGAGGGACAATGCCAAAACGTTCCAACNCAGGCATACAAGAAGTAGTCGGAGTCCCAACCACCTTGTTTGTTAGAGATTTTGACCAACCCCTTAAGCTTAGAATGCTTTGCCTTAGAAAAATAATAAAGCCCCCCTTGACATTTCTTCAAGGGGTAAACATTTACGAGCTCATCAATAGTAGGCTTGTCGATACCACTCCTCTTATAGGCAATGTACATACCAATCATACATAGGTATGAATTCGCCGTTAATTGAAGAGGGACAATGCCAAAACGTTCCAACACAACCGAAATAAACCTATGCGGAGGTACCGATACCCTAAATAGAAGGATCTCCAAAGTCGCAACCCAACTGGCATGCAAGCTCTTGAGTGAACAATCCTTGGCATGACGGAGGGTACCGACCAAACCAAACTCTTCCTTTATACAACCAAGCTCATCACTAGGAAGAGGATGCGTTGAGTTATTGTGTGGTTTAACAACTGCCGCAAGAGCCACGCCATCATCCACCCGTAAAGGATCCACCTCCGCTCCGTTGGGCCAACTTCTAGCAAGCGTTTCAACCACTGAGGGAACAACGATGGTAACCCTTACAGCCTCGCCCCAGCTAATCGAGGCACCCCCAATTGGATGCATGTCAAACCCTTTACCACTAGTTACAACCATGCCATTTGGTTAAAAGCACTTGAAACGTAAAATCCAATGTTATTAGTAGTCTTTACTCCTAAAAAGATGACCTATTGACTCATTTGCCCCTAGTGTCCCTCACTCAAGATAAAGACAAGTCACTCAAATAAATAAAACGGCTAAAACTAGCCTTTAGTGGCACCTCTTAAGCGACCTTAGAATGGAATTTCTTAACCAAGCTTTAAGGTACTACTGGGTTAAGCCAACAGACGACAAAACATCATTAAATAAAAGGAAAAAGGGGCAGCTTACCAAAGAATTGTCCTAAAAGGCATTAGGAGTCCACTAAAAAGCCAGTGAAGACTATTGGAGAGTTAGGAGAATAGCCGAGAAGAAGCACACAAGAAATGGAAACTGCGAATAAGAAAGATCAGATCTAGGACATCCTTTATAAAGATCACCCGAAAGGGAAGACATCCGAATCGTCCATCCACTACATGTGGCGACATTTGGTGCTAGGGAAAGTAACTGTCTTTTAAGAAATTAAAGCAGTCATCTGTCAATGTGGGCCATCAATTAATTGGTGCACTATTCCACATGGCACCATGTTCAATGTGATTGACACGACTCTTCAGAAGTCCAAAACAGAATCTTATCTATTCCTCGACAAAATACCCTGAGCTTGTGAAAACAAAGTATGAACCTCGGGAAATCTCGAGCTCCCGAACAACGAAAGAAGGGATGCAAACCACGTTGCACGAACCTTCCTTCAAGCTCACAGCCAATGCTCCCCATCGATGACTTAGCAAAATGCGAACTTTTGGTAACTTGGGATTTGAGAGACAAGTAACGTCGAAAATAGGAAACTATTCTGACCAGACTAGTCAGCACGAGACAACGAACCTTTAAGAGGTAAGACAAGGTAAAGGTGTAGGAAACATATACGCATATTTGAATAAAGTTCATTCTTTTAATCCTCAAAATTGATACAAGACGTTTATTTACAAAAGGCCCAAAAAGTCGAGAGGCAGTAGTCAAAAAAATAAAAAAATAAAATAACAATTATTTACTCTTGCCACTACCTAATCTATAGTTGGGAACAACAAGTCCTAGGTCTCCGCCCTCTATAGTTGGGCGGCCTGCCACATGAGCTCCTCTTTTTCGCGGTGAAGGACATTATTCGCATCTTGCAACCACGACACCTCAAGGTGACTCATCGCCCTCTCATGAGAGGCGTCAGTGATCCTTTACTCCCTCGTATCAATCCCTCGGATCAATTCGTGGTGTTCTCTAGTGAACTCAACTTGGGATGTAGCAAGGCACTCCTTCAACTCCTGGTCTCCCTCTCGGCCGTTTGGAGCCGAATCTGAACTGCCCCTTATTCTGAAAAGATGGAATAAGCCTCTTGATGAAGCAATATCATCAAAGAGAAAAGAGAAACACGTCTAGCCCACTCATTATGGACTCCAGGGGGAGCTCTTGTATAATTAAGGCCCGAAGTGCGGCGACCCTATGCGCCATGCGAAGGGATAATGCCTTCCAAGAAACCCACTCTGGCTAGCATGCCACGCATTGAACCTGTTAGACGATGACAAGTTAGAAGATATCTACCAAAATAAAGAAAGACAAGCGGAAAGTTAAGATAAAGGAACAACAATTAAAAACATAATTAAAGAAGGAAGGAAAAAAAATTGATAAGAGCAAAAACGATAACG